CAGAACGAGTTTATTTTTATGTTTTTAATCTTTTGCACTCCAAAAGATCTGGGTTCTAGTTTTTTTGGGTACAAAGAGATAATATAATAAGCTATTGTGCGCTTCCAGACTATCTATTCTTGTGACTATAGTAGCATTGATTTTTTTTATACCACAACAACCCAATCTTCGAGCTATTTCAGAGTTGTTCTCGAAATACTTTTATTTATCCTCAAAAGACATCTGCTCCATGTTTACCTTTATTATTGAAAAAATATGATTTTTGCAAAACGAATTACAAGTTTACCCTTAACATACTGAGTATAATGAATTTCTTTTGATATAATACAAGAACTTTGTTTTTTTATGAGAAAAAGTAAATGTGTGTTATTTAAAATGACCTCAAAAATATTAATGCAATTACTAAAATGCTTAAAACAAGCAATTTCGATAGTTATTAAATCGTGTCAGATAGTTAGACCTACAAAAATCTTGACCTACTACGTTAAAACGTATACGACCGTCTACTAAAAAGTGGAACTAATTTTCAGATAGCCTAAATTGTTTTTAACCGATTATAGTCTTTTTTTTCAACCGATCTATGACTTTTTTGTTTTCGACCGATTTATTTTTCGACCTATTTTATAGATTTTCATTTGAAATTAACTCATTTTCAATTTTCGATTATCTGGTCTGTGTTTTTAACTCTATTTTTTTTAAACTACGAAATTTTTTTTCAAAAGACAAAGCCTAAAATTTTGCTCGTATTCAAATCAATAACAAAATATATAAAATAGATACCGGAAATGCGTATTTGTAAAATTGAAAACACAATAGGTTGAATATTCAGTGGTTTGAAAAATCAGTAGGTCAAAAATATAGTAGGTCAACAATTTAGTAAGTTAGAAAATGTACATGTTTTAATTAGATATAAATATAAAAATCAAAAATTGTCGGTTGAAAATCAAAAACATACTCTATGATTTACGATATTTCAATATATATATATATATATATATATATATATATATATATATATATATATATATATATATATATATATATATATATATATATATATATATATAGTATATATATATATATATATATACGTATATATTTATATATATATATATAAATATATACATATATATATATATTTATATATATATGTATATGTATATATATATATGTATATATGTATATATATATATATATATATATATATATATATATATATATATATATATATATATATATATATATATATATATATATATATATATATATATATATATATATATATATATTGGGGAGGTGGAGGCAGAGGAGGCAAAATAGGGACAATGCGAAAATTTTAGAAAAATACAAACTTATCAAACAGTTGATGGAAAATACGTTCGCACGTAACCATCAAAGGATTTTTTTCAGGAAGGCATTTAGATTTTACTAGGTCTTTTTACAAACGTTTTATTATTTTTGATTTGTTTTTCAAGTTAACTTAACTTTTCAAGTAAACTTAAGGATTTAAATATTTATTTTAGGTGCCCCAAGAAATCCTTACGGTCTTATCACAGAGCACAGAACTTCTAAAATAAGCGCGCTAACCACTGCGTTACAGCAGCTTAAATTTACTGAGGTACTTACTTCTCCAAGGAATTTATTTTTTACAATTTTAGTAAAAGGGATCATTTCTGCGATAAAAACAAAAAGGTTCATTTTGTAAAAATTTTTGTCGTTTTTTGTGCGATTTTCAAGCATTTTGTCACATTCTATGAAAGATTTTGTGGAATATGTTTTAAAATTATGGTAATGACAGTATTGGACAACTTTCATGGGACAATATTTGGACGAACTGCGCGTAAATTTGGACGTACTGCACTTGGACTCTTATTAATCTTATCGGAAAACTAAAAATTAAACAAAGTTCAAGAATGATGCACAACTATAAAAAGAAATGTGAAAAATATATAAACAAAGAAAATTTAAAAATTGCATTAAATCATGTTTTTATTAAAACAATAAAACTAAAAGAAGGTGCAGGTGTATTTGGGTTCTCTTCAAGTACATTGGCTTACATAATTAAAAATTCTTAGAAGTAATACAAAATTAAAAAGAGAAAACTTTCTTACCAAGTATTTTATTTTCACATTCAAATTTGTTTGAATGTTATGAAGTTTATTTTTATTTACAAGAAAATTTTTATTCATGTCTATCTCTTATTTTACATTTTTTTGTTATTTTTTTAATATTTTTGTATTAATGAGATTGTTAGGTAATTAAATAGTATTTTCATTTTGGTTTGAATATAATGTACAATATAAAATTATTAATAAATAAAAATTATGGTTTGAGATCTTTATAAGAATAATTTTCTTATTGTTAAAATTTGTCTTAATTCTACTGTTGTTTATAATTACTATAATTAATTATTATTGTTTATAACTACTGTTCAATACCCTAGTTTACTATTTTGCAGACAACTTATAAGTCTTTTAGGATTGCAATATTCTTATACTATCCTATAAAATATCCTAAAGGATTCGTAAGATTTTATTTGCCTTGCAAATCCAGTAAGTTCATAAGAACTCCTGTGATTAACTTTCACATTAGGTACCCGTAAATCCAGATTTTATGAAACCGTTTTTTCAGCCAAATTCTGTGATTTTTCAAACTTTTTTTCAAGTTTTTTGAAAAGTTGGCATGAACTGTTATGTGTTACTTTTTAGAAATATGTATCAATAAAGACTTTTTTTTTTGCAAAACGAATTACAAGTTTACCCTTAACATACTGAGTATAATGAATTTCTTTTGATATAATACAAGAACTTTGTTTTTTTATGAGAAAAAGTAAATGTGTATTATTTAAAATGACCTCAAAAATATAAATGCAATTACTAAAATGCTTAAAACAAGCAATTTTGATAGTTATTAAATCGTGTCAGATAGTTGAAAAGCATGGTATGAAAAGTTTTTTGAAAAGCATGGTATGAACTGTTATGTGTTACTTTTTAGAAATATGTATCAATAAAGACTTTTTTTTAAAACTAGAATTATGGAACTTTAATTTTGCACGGATTTCTTTGTATCGAGTATATCAATTAATCAATCATTATATTTGCACTTTAATAACTGCATATATATATACAATAGTGAGGGACATTTACAAACAGTTAAAAACTGATGATGCGTAAAGACATACTATGGTTTAAAACAATTATTGTAAAACGATAATAATAATTAATAATAAATATGTTAATACTAATAGTAATGATAATAGTTAATAGACAACCATAACAAAGAATTAAATTAAATTAATAATTAGTAATTAAATAGTAATAAAAATAGTGGATTAGCAATAAAATTATCAAAGGTATGGTAAGATAATATTGTATTATTAGTAAGATGAAGACAAAGTTAGGAGAAAGTTAAGTAGATAAAAGACTTTAAATTTTTATTATAATAATTTTTTTTTATAATTTTTTTTTTTTATATCAAATTAAAAATATAATATATATCAAGTATATATCAAAGAAATGTTGCATCATTTTCCTAATATAGCCTCTAACCTTTAAAAACCTTTTTCTTGCTACCTGCCAAATATTGTTAAAAAATAGCGCATATTAAAACTAAAAACCCAATTAGATAACTATTTTAGGCTTTAATAATGCTATACACAGAGGCCAGGAATAGGAGGGGGGGGGGCAGAATGTATGAGCAATAAAAAAAAATGATGCTAAATATAGATTATATAATTGAATTAAACAGTTGTAATATAGTTAGAAACTGTAATGTCAATATATTTACCATTATTTTAATATATTAAAATAATGGTAAATATAACAAATATTACTATTTATTTATCAAAAAGTGAACTACTTTATATAATTTTTTTCTCTCGCTGTCATGGGTCTAAAAAAATGTGCGTTTTATGGTGAATGCAAAAAGTATTTAACTGATATTTTTGCATTGTCTCAAATAAGCATTAACTCAAATACATAATGTAGTACAGTTTGTAGAAATGGCATGTTCTTTAAACTTTACAAAATATCGTTAATCAATAAATCATTAATCTTCGTCATTCAATTGAACTCAGATTTTAGATGCACATAGAGTTATAATTTATAATTAATGCAATCATTCATTAGAGTATAACAAAAGACGCTATTCAGCTAGCTATATTGTGCAATATTGTGAATATAACTATTTTAAGTATAGTAAAATTTTGTCATTTTCACATGGTGAATTAAGTATTACCAATGTTTCTGTCTTAAAACCTGTAAATACTGTAATTGATCTTTTCAATATTGTTGAGCTATCACCTGCAAAAATAAGAATTTGTTCTTATTTTTTTAAGTCTTTTATTAGTGTAATGGAAACAGACGAGATTCATTTAATTCCTATTGCATCATTTATCACTAGTTGCCTGTTATTCCCTGTCCCTAATAAGGTTAACTTACATATTGTTGTTCCTATTTTATCTGTATTTGAACACGATTAATTTGTACTTTATTCAAATATATACATATTAATATTGTTGTTTTTAATTTGTGTTTGTTTGTTATCCTAATGAATGTTTGTTTAAATGTTTATTAATGACAATTTAATTGTTTTTTATAAGATTATAACAAACATATATGCTCATGTTTTTATAAAAAGATGAAATTTTAAAAAACGTTTCTTTTCTTTTTATTATGTTTTCTAAACTGCTTCAATGTTGTTTAAAACTAACCTCTCTTGTGGGGTAGTTTTGGACAACGAGTAGCTTCATTTTTAAGAGAAAAAAAAAGCAACTATAACCTATTTGAACTATCTCGCTTTTGGTTTTTTTTAATAAATTAATAACTAAATTATCTTTTTCAGCAAATCACCTACTTTTTGTCAAAGATTACGAAAATATAGTATTTTTTTCAAAAAGTGTCCTACTGTGCCCCCTTATCCTACATATACACACACTAACACACATATACATATTTTTTGAATACAAAAAATTTTCCTAAAGTTTAAATTCATTTTCATACCGCTTGATGAAGCAAAAAATGTAGTTAAAGAAGTCAAGTTTTTCCAAGCATCGGTTTTGTTACGTCTTAACCACAAACAATTTAACAGTAAAAATCCAGTGAGAGCAAACAATCCACTTATCAAAAGTAAAACTAAGACAATATCTCGATGGTCACCGTTTACATCTGCCAATAAAAATTAAAATTCATTTAAAAATAATATATACTATGTATATATATATGTATACATATATATATATATATATATATATATATATATATATATATATATATATATATATATATATATATATATATATATATATATATATATATATATATATATATATATATATATATAATTAATAGTTATTATAAGTAATTAATAAATATTATTTATTAATTATTAATAGTAATTGCTGTTAACATATAATTACTTGACTATTGATTATTTATTACTTTTAACATTAATTTTAATTGAGCGTAAAATTTATTTTTTATAATAGGAAAAATATGCCGTTGTTGAAATATCGGCCGTTAATAAAAGTAGTGAAAGTTTGGAAAATAGCCGTCATGTCAAAATAGCCGTCATGTCAAGAATATCAATTAATAAATGCTTTTAACAAAAGTACTGGTAGTTTTTCCAATAATAAAAGTACTGGTAGCCCTATTTCGTTTGTTCAGTTACAAATAAGTTAAAACGAGAGTTGTTTAAAACAGGTTCCGCAACTGATTTTTTTTCTTGATAAATTTTTTGTTGTTTGCCTTCATGCCTAAAAAATTATGAGTATTATTGAATTTTTTAGTCTTACAAATTTAAAAAAAAAAGATTTAAAAAACGCAGCAATTTTGTTCAATGTAAAGTCAATTATTGTGCGCCCAAATCGTCGTATTTTCACTTAGGGCCTCAAATAAAAGCAAGTGAGCAATATTAACTATTTTTAAAAAATTCCCATGAAAAAATTTCATGGGACTTTTTTAAAAATAGTTAGTATTGGAAAAATTTTTTGACACCTAATAAAGATAAAATAGCAGTAATAAAACAAAAAACATGGAAAATTTCATGAAAATATAATTTCACTATAGCCAAGTGAACATGATAATCCTTTTAAATAATAACATTGATTAGCAGGAAATTAAAAACTGAACGGCATTTATAGTTTCTTTAAAAACTAAAGTCAGTAAGATTTAAAGGTCATATTCAGGATCAGATTCGGACTCCCCAACTACTTGTAAAAGAGGAGTTAAAAGCAATTTCCTGGTTTCATTGGAAATAGGTTGTGAATAAATCTTCTGCTTTTTTTGTTTTGTTGACAAACTTCTGACCACAGGGTCACCTGAGCCCATCAAACGCAAAAAAAATTATTGAAACCATCAGTCCATGAAGTTTTTCTGATCTGGTTAAAGCTCATAAAAGCATGGTGAGATTATCCTGTTTCTTCATTTGTCAACTATATAGCAAGGGGACAGTTTTCAACCAAAGCCTTACCATAACAGAGTACTTTGTGAAGAGTTGGTGTGATTGGACACCATTTGATATGATCCATGTTGGTTGCCTTATTTTTATCACAATGCCTTCCAAATGCTTCAGCATCTAAGGCAAATGAGCTGCGATAATTGAAAAGAATTTAATAAATTTGAAAAATCATGACTAAAATTGATACCTAACTTTATTTTTTTTCCTAAAGTTGTACTGGAATATTTTTTCTAAGAAGTTGCCCCAAATATTTTGCATGCAGGAAAAAATCTCTTAAAATATCAATTATATAACTGCAGGTCCATAAGCCATTAAGCTGCCTGCATTAGACAAAAAACAATTTTTTAAACTTTAACATTCATATCATACCTGGTTTTCGAAATTTTACTCTTGCAATATTTCCTGTTGTTGTTGTGCCGGTTACACTTTCTCTGCATTGGTCTACAATGAAACCAAAGTAGTCTTTAATCAAGATGCAAAATGGCCTCAAAGGAGCGAATTCTAAAATGCAAAATACTTGCTCCATAATCCAAAGCACCACCTTTGAAAGAAAAATCTCCAGATGGATTTGATATTCGTCTTGATGCTTGATGGCGTAATGGGCTATTGCTAGTTGATTGAAAGGCAGTCAATTGTTTCAGGATCTTCCCATCGATCATGCAGAAAATACCAATGTTATCACAATCACCTATAAAATTAACAGCTAAAATAAATATCCCAGATGTTCCATGTATCACATTTTTTCTGACAATAGTTTACAATAGTGAGAAAAAGATTAAAGTGCTTTACCTTTGAAGAATCCACCAGAATGAGTGAAGGTAGATAGAAGGTAATCACTTCTTAGAGTCTATTTCATAAGTTTAGACTATGATTCAACTACTCTAATTGGGCAACATGAACTGCCACTGTTAACATTCTTGATGTAGTAAAAAATCAAACCTTTGTTGCTTTCATTTCTGGCTTGAAGTGGAACCTTTTGTTAGACAAGGTATGCTTTGTCATCTGGAACTTTCCCGATTTTATCCTTTTGATGGAAGGTACCAAATGAACTAACTCCATTAAGGCTAAGTTTGAAGTAAAAGAAAAGATTCATAGGTTCCTGAACAGAGAAGTCGTTCAAGTAAAAGGGTATCTTCCAGGAATATCCTAATTTTAAGAAACATTAATTTTATTCGAAAGTTGATTTTTGTTTCTTACAAATTTATAAAGTTTTTTAAACCTGCATGCTAGATTTTTTGAACCTTTTGAATGTGTGGTACAAAAGATTTTAAAGTAAAACTTTTGCTGTCAGTGAATTTACTTGGATTCCTTTAGGTCTGCAGTCTTTTTTTGCTTGAAGAACCTGAAATTAAAATTAGAGACCTAAATTGAAAGTACATCAGCAAAGCATAGATAGTTAATCTTTTTTCAACAAACTAAAGAGTCACATAATGTATTTCACTTACAGCATTATAATTTAGTCAGCTGTTTTAAATGTTTTCAGCACATTCCTCTTTTAATTGACAATAAGTTCTCTTGGAAATAATGTTGTTAAAGATGAAGGCAAGGAAAGCCGTTGGTGTTTTTAGAGTAAGCATCTGAGGTGGAGGCTTCAGAGCTGCCTTCAAGTTGTTTTTAACAATCTCTTTAGTCTGATTTAGTAGTTTGCGGACCATCAACCCCAGTTTTGTTGGAAATTGAGCTGCAGCTTACAAAATAGCATAATTTTCATGATTAGTGCGAACTTCTATACTTAAAATTTGCTTTCCACGGAGAAAGCAAATTTCTCCGTGTAAAGCAGCATTCCCTCAAATAAACAATTTTTTTAACTTACAAATCAGGAAGAGTAAAATTCTTGGAGAGAAAGCATCTTTTTGCTGCACCTTCAAAGAACCTGTCAATGTGGTAGGACTTTTATTTTGTATGCTTGTTCTACATTGACCAGAAAGCTTCTGATTCTTTGCCTGAACTCTCCCGATGTATCACCATCCTCCTCAAAAGTGACTTACTGATGAGAAAGGATAACGTTTCTAAGAAGTTCAGATGACCTGGAGCATCAGTAAACCTCGTCCCTCTAGTTTGCATAGCTTTCAGAAGGTCTACTCTTGTAATGCGATATGTCTGATATCTCATTTAATAATGGGATAAAAGCTAAAGTTTGAGTATCAGCACTTTAAAATCGGACAAAAAAATTAAAAAAATAACGCAACCTTAAAGATTCAGACAAAATCAAGTTCTGTTTTGATTTACGGCCCACGCGTCGTCGCGACGATAAAATTTTGGCGCGAACGGAAATTTATTTAATTATTTTTAATTTGGTTTCATAAAAAAAGGTCCTCAAAACTAAAATTCACCCAACTGAACTGTGTCAAATACCTGTCTAGATGACTAAATAAAAAAAGATACCTCACAACCTCCACACACATAAAGTTGCATCTGGCTGTGTGCGAAAACAATTTTCACGTACTGCTTCTATTACCGGTTCATTGATAGCTAATAATAGTCTTTGCACTGTTAAACTATTAGTAGTTTTTGTAATTTTTTATACACAAAATGGCAGAATTTTCTGTACCTTTTTGTGTTAGCATAATTGTTCTTTAGTTTACCAGGAAAATATTATAGAGCATCACTTTCTCGAGATTGTTCTCACTTTTTAAGTAATTTAATATGTCCTTGCTTTCTTCCTCTATAAATTGTTCTTGCTTTACACTAATTTTTTAATTCTTAAAATTAGTGCGATAATAAAATCAATATAATTGTAAGTTAAAGATCTGATCAAATCTGATTGTAAGTTAAAGATAAGGTTAGATGCTTCTGCATCAGTTTCATCTTTAAATAAATAATCATTGATATAAAATAAGTCTTTTTAAAATGTGATTTAAGAATTTATAATTCTCATTAAAACGTATAAAAAATTCGCCCTGTAAAAACCTCATTTCAAACCTTTTTAATACTAAAAACAGGCATTACTGCCATATTTTTGTTGTTGTTGTTGTTGTTGTTGTTGTTGTTGTTGTTGTTGTTGTTGTTGTTGTTGTTGTTGTCGCTGTTGTTGTTGTTGTTGTTGTCGCTGTTGTTGTTGTTATTGTTGTTGTTATTATTTGACAATTATATAACAAGATATTAACAACAAAGAAAGACAACCTTAAATCATAACTACCCAGGCGGCAGACGTCTTTTGAACGTTTAAGATACTTCTATACAATTAGACAACTTTTTTTTTTAATACATGAATTGCACATATAGTTAACATAAATTACAATAATGAAAAAAATTTTTTTTTCTTTCAATCTTAATAAAAAAACTGGTTTTGGTCCCAAAAAGAGGCTAAACCGTTTACACGATTATTTATCATAGGGTAACTGTTAAAATTTTAAATTTGCAAAGTCGTTTTATAACAATGTAAACTACAATCTGTGCCACTTTCACGTTCAAACTATCAAAACTTGCAAAAATATAGTCATTTTCATAAGAATTGGTAAATTTCACAGTTTTTTGAACTTTTGAAGTTTTTCGCCTACTCAAAACTTCGTAAGTACAAATCTAAATAAGCGAAACTCTTCAATGAGGGTCATTTTGTAGCTATATTAGTAACAGATATTTGTGGAAAATTTCAAAAAAGTTTCATAAAGTATTAGTGAAGATCCAACACATCAAACAATCACTGTTAGATCGTTGGATGCACATCCAACGATCACTGCTTTAGATCCCGGTGTGGGATATTGAAGCA